ATGTCTGCTTTTTGTAGAAGTACATTCACAATAGAACAAATTATGGTACAGTTATAAGACGTCCACTTGTAAGATAGGACTGTATGCCAGAGGTCTAATTCTGTCTTAACAACTCATTGCATTGAGTTTTATCCTGTAGTCACACTTGCCTGGAATGTGTATATTGTTTCATTAGAGGAGATTTTTTTTAATTATGATTTAAAAGGTAAGGGCAGCCTGCATGGGGAAGATCTACAGCCACGTGTAGGGATCCGTAGCCAATATCTAAAAGCCAAATAATTCTAGTCAAAAGACATTCCATTAATTAGTTTGGATAGTACATATCCAGATGTTGACTTACCTTGTAGCATCCAGTGCATCATCAAACCTTTATTCATTTATATTCAGTAAGCACTTAATCCTGATCATTGTCACAGTGGATCCAGAGCCTGGAACCGAGATGTGAATACACCCTGGATGGGATGCCATATCAGACACATTCCTACCTATGGGTAATTTAGAGTATCCAATCTACCAACCAACTTGTTTTGAGACACGATTAAGATATTCACTTCCTTAAAACAGTTTATGCTTAAGGTTCACACTTGCTTCAATGAATAATCTCACCTGTATACTATACGTAGATTTAAGAACTGCTGCTGTGATTATAAGCACTCTGCTGTGCTGATCCCAGGACTACATTCACTACATTAATTTTTCTCTACTTTTCTTCACTATACTGTAATTATTTATAATCCCACTATCCAGTGACACTCAGAAGAGGACAAGTTCCTTTTTCAGGCTGGTTCCTATCAATGTTTTTTTCTCGTGTCATCTCAGGGAGGTTTTCCTTGCCACTGTTGACTCTGGCTTGTTCATTATAGATCTCAATCTACATCTGGATTTCACTAAAGATGCTTTTTTGTGATAGTATCTATTGTTAAAGGCTCTATGCACACTGAAAATTTCCTTCAGATTTAAAGTGACATGCTCCCAAATAACTGACACTTTGTTTTGTCTCTTTTATTGCCCCATCCATGTTTTGTCACATTTAATCAAAACCTCTTATGAGTTTTATTTATTTGTATTTATGTATTTATTTGAACCAGGGGATCATGGCAGCCCTGGTTGAAATTATGTTATTGAAATTTGTATGTAAATTGTGATCTACTATTTAAGGAATAATGTTCATCTTGCCAGACCTTCAAATTGAGCGATATGATGAAGTCTGAATTGTATTTGCTGCCTGGGATTCCCCAGAAATCTAACAACAAAACAATGATTGTATTTTCTCTCAGCCCTAAGCCAAAGGAAAAATAAGGTATTTGGTGGATTATAAGTAGTTTACATTTTTAGTGTGTTTGTATTATGTGTGTGAGTAAGTGATATTCGTGGTCGAATTTTTTTTTTATGATGCATGTGTATCTTCGTATTATGTATTTATGTTCGATGGTTTCTGTTTGTTTCTTTGTTATCATTCTCTATAACAGCTGATTAGCTCACCTAATCTAATCAAGTTGTGTGAATGCGTTTGTTGAAATTAACCCCCCCTTCTCCCTCTGCACTACAGATGTGGATGAGTGCAGGAGCCCCGGTGTCTGCCCCAGTGGTAAATGTGTGAACACACACGGCTCATTCAAGTGCCAAGCATGTGGCCCTGGATTCAGGCCTGACGCTGGGAGATGTCTGGGTAAGAGGCTCCATCTGGGTTTTCCGTATTTCATTTTATGATTGTGTAATAATAATATTATTCCCTCAATCTGGCATGGGCTGGAAACGTAGACTTGGTTTTGGCAGTGTTCCGCATGACTTAAGGGGCATGGCGACAGTGTCTGCCCCCTTCAAGTGTTGACAGTCTATTTGTTTCAGAATTGCCATGAAGTGATTGATTTCATGTGCCAACTTCAATGCTAAATTATTCTATCTCAAAACAGTTGAGGAATCAACACTGACTATTTAATTAAACGTAATTAAACTCAGTAACCCTTTGAAATCTGTGCCATTTCTACACATGACCTTATATCAGCTTGTTAGATATAATGGATGTTAAATTAAAGAAAGCATATAGCAACTTGGCAGTTAAACCTCATTATGTGGGTGTTTTTATAGCGCTTGAATGTTGGGCGTCTTCTGACAGAGGCACGTCCAGCTCTTTTGCTCAGCTTTCATCCCTCACATATTTTTATCTAATCTCTATCCACTCTCACTAAGTTCAACCCAGAGAGTTCCACCCACACTCTTTAAACACTTTGTCTTATTACTATGCATCTAGTGCTGCTGTAAAAGATTGTTTACAATACTTCAGTTTGGGAGAGTCAAAATATTTCTGTCTTGGCCATAGCCTTAAACAAACAGAATATTATTTTTGGACAGTTCTGGATGCTGCAGCAAATCCCAGTGGGGAAAGGCTCATTTTCAGAAGTTTGAGGATGGGAGGACAGAGCTAGACCACTGCGGCAAGAGGTCATCAGACTGCATATTACTCCCTGCACATTATCTCTGTTTGGCGTAGCTCATGATATATCTTTAAAAATGACATAGTATTTTTATGGCATTTCAGTGAAAGATTGGACACTGGAGAGAATTAGCAATACTACTAATATGAGGAAATAACAAGGATTTTAATGCTAGTAGTCAAAGCATGTGTTTGTGAGTGTGGTTTCAGAAACAAGGTAATAAACCATATGATTTATTATTACTGCACTTTTGCAGTTTGGACTACACCTTTTACTTTATCTTGGCAAAGTGACTACAGTGTACCTTTAGAAGTACAATCCTTGGGTTAAGATTTTATTATGTACCCTAAATGAGTTGTAAGGGTTTACTACATTCACTTGTTCAGGTTAAATATACAGTGGTGCTTTTAATAGAAATCGAATTTTCTATATTTCTACATAAATTTGGCCTAAAACATCATCAGATGTCCTGAAAGTAGATAAAGAGAACCCAATTAAACAAATGAGAAAAAAATATTATACTTGGTCATTTATTTATTGAGGAAAATGATTCAATAGTACATCTGTGAGTGTCAAAAGTATGTGAACCTTTGCTTTCAGAATCTGGTGTGACCCCCTTGTGCAGCAATAACTGCAACTAAACATTTCCAGCAACTGTTGATCAGTCCTGCACATTGGCTTAGAGGAATTTTAGCCCATTCCTCAGTATAGAACAGCTTCAACTCTGGGATGTTGGTGCTTTTCCTCACATGAACTGCTTCAGGTTTTTCCACAGCACTGCTATTACATTAAGGTCAGGACTTTGATTTGGCAATTCCAAAACATTAATTTTATTATTCTTTAACCATTTTTGATAGAAGACTTATGTGCTTTGGGTTGTTGTCTTGCTGCATGACCCACTTTCTCCTGAGATTCAGTTCATGTTATGAGATTCTCCTGAGATTCTGTTCTGATATTTTCCTTTAGACTTCGCTGATGTAATTCAGAATTCATTGTTCCATCAATGATGGCAAGTCGTCCTGGCCCAGATGCAGCAAAACAGACCCAAACCATGATCCTATCACCACCGTGTGTCACAGATTGGATCTTATTCTAGAATGCAGTGTTGTCTTTTCTACTAAAATAATGCTTCTCATTTAAACCAAAAAGTTATATTTTGGTCTCATCCGTCCACAAAACATTTTTCCAATAGTCTTCTAGGTTGTCTACATGATCTTTAGCAAACTTCAGACAGGCAGCAATGTTCTTTTTGGAGAGCAGTGGTTTTCTCTTTGTAACCCTGCCATGCACACCATTGTTGTTCAGTGTTCTCCTGATGGTGGACTCATGAACATGAGCATGAGAGGCCTTTAGTTGCTTAGAAGTTACCTTGGGTTCCTTTGTGAATTTGCAGACTATTACACATCTTGCTCTTGGAGTGATCTTTTTTGGTTGACCACTGATGGGGAGGGTAACAGTGGTCTTGAATTGGGTTCTCTTTGTCTACTTTTAGGACTTGTTTGAAACTGATGATGTTTTAAGTCATATATATGGAGATATATAGTAAAATATAAATGTTTCACAAACTTTCAAGCACCACTCTACATATTAAAGGCTCAGAAGGTGTACCCTTGATGGTCTTATCACAGTCACAAGCAATGTTTGGGTTTAGTAAATTTATCTATTTTATTTTCTGAGAATGAACCACACTTGAATTTGCATTCACAACTAGCATTAAAATTTCCATTTATTCTTCATACCTCATATTTTACACTACATAATTCTTACACTATATATTATTTAATGCAGACATTTAAAGCCTATTCTTATGCATATTGCTGTTTGATGCTTAATAACAACTCAAAATACCAGGATATTAATCAGAGTAATCAAGGAGGAATAAAACGCAACCAGGTGTACTCTTATAATCAATGACAGGCAATGTGTTACCACCCTAAAGTTGATTATTTTCCTATAACTGCACACCACAGAGTGATTTATCCCTATTAACAATGACAAGTCATACATTTACAGTAATATTGGGAATATTAATTAGACAAGTTAGTTAGTAAATTGAAAACAATAATTTCTCTACCCACTTCTTTTTTTCTCTCTTGTATGCATATGTCCGTATGCTAAATGATTATGTAGGCAGGTCTTTAAGTTGCATGAAACACAGTATAATCAGTTCTACTGTTTAAAACAAAAGAGATGGAGCATTGTTAATGAACCTGTTACTCATTGAGTTCTAAGTAAACAGAACACATCTGAGAGATTTCATTGATGCCACAGTCTACAGGGTGTCCCTAAAGTTTCCAAACATAGTGGACTATGTTTGCCAGCACCTTGTCCGTGGACATCCATTCCTCGGTTGGTCTGCAACATTTCCAGTGTTTCGAATTTATTAATAAGTTGGGCAAGAATGTTGTGTGTGATGTGCTTGCCATGTTTCCTGTAAAAGTCCATCGTTACCTTGCAACAGCTTCCCGCTCCATTACATTTATGGTATTTGGACGATGCCCTTATCCATACATCTGTTCAGTTGAGGGTTAAGGTCCTTGCTGAAGGTCCCAACAGTGGCAGCTTGACCGTGCTGGGGTTTGAACTCACAACCTTCTGAGCAGTAGACCAACCCCTTAACCACTGAGCTACCACCGTGTAAGAAGCCTGCGTTAGAAACCTGTGTTAGAAACCATAAGAATGATTTCAGCATGTTCTTCAGCATGTTCTTCAAAGGCTTTCCTAAATGCTATCTGAAAAATATATAATATATAAACTAAGTATGAAAAACTTTGGAAGACAGTTTGTTAAAAAGTCTTAATTTCCTCAATGTATGGATACTTTTGGGTTACTTAAGAGTGAGGCCCTAACGTCAGTGCTTACTTATACTGTAGCAAAGCTGTTCTCCCAGAGTTCTTAACACACACTGTATGATCTCATCACTACATAGAGAACTGCACTGGACTTCAGGAGCAGGGCAAAGATTCAGTGCTTTTTACAAAATAAATACATACATCAATCTCTATGAACCTTCATCATGCACATTAAGCAAACATCTGGCAGCGGATATTTCACAGGATGCACCACTTCATTAAACTTGAATTCTGTAGACCTGTGATATGAAGACACCCTAATTCCTTACCTAACCTCCACAACATCCACATGGTCTCAGACTACATACAAGCATGTCTGTTGCAACACAAAGTAATTTTTTTTTTATCATTGGTTTCCATGACAACAACTCAAAGATGCCACAGTATAAACTATGGCCTATAATTGTATCACTCTTATTCGACTTATTGTCTAATTTGTTTCATTGGATTATTTACATTTTTTAGCCATGCACATTTTTTTTTTATTAAAATGAAGTTCAGTGATGCCTTTTGCTAAAACAAGCTTGTATTTCCTAGCTCGTATTATGTTTGCAATCAGGGTTTTTCCTTGAAGGATGAAGGATGTGGGTTCAAACAGTCACTGGTGTATTTAGTAAATGGCTTATTAGAGAGAAAATTCAGGGTTGATTTAGAAGCAGGGTGTACAGGGTTCACCTCAGCTCCTGGGCCTGATTGGCCCTTAATGGTACCAAAATAAGGTTGTTGTTTTTTTATTTATAAAAAATAAAATAAAAAATACACATAAAAAACTGCATACAGAGAGTATGTAAATAATCTCCTTTTCTCCAGCCATTTTCTCAGTCAATTGCCTGTAGCGCAGAAGTTAGTGGCCATTTGGCGGGATAGTGGATAAGACTATTTGCTGGTGTGATGGGGAAAATAGCACAGCTTTCTTTCAAACCCTTATCAGTGAAGATTCAGAGAAATACCTGGAGATTGCAGAAACAAAGCTGCAGAGGACGCTGACAGAAATCTGGCAGATGCAGTGGCAGTGAACACAAAGCCCTGCTTGTGTCTTTTCACCTCAGAGGTCCTCTGTGTCTGCTCTCTCTCCCATCCTGCTTGAAACCATCAGCTGTCTGGAAAGATGAGGGATGTTGAACAAATAAACAAATACAATACACAGGAGGTGGACCTCACCAGCAGTGAACATGTAAGGAATAAAACACAACAGGGTGTGCCCCTGTTGTAGGCTGCTTGGCATCTCCAAACTGTCTGTTGAGTGCGATTGTGCACTGTGATGGGTTGGCACCCATCCATCCATCCAGGGTGTCCCCTGCCTTGTGCCCCGTGTACCCTTGGATAGTACAGAAAATGGATGGAAACAACATACTTTTTTCCATTTAAAAACATTCTAAAACAGCTAAAAACATTCATTACGTCACCAGCCTCTGTTTTTTTTTGTGTGCAAAAAGGCAGCTTGTCGAGAAAACCAGAATAGTAATTTGTCATTAAGACTTACCTGTGTCTGAAAACTTAGTTACAGCTAATCCTTCCAAAATGTTAAATAAATGTCTCCTCATAGAAAAGTTCACTATATCTACAATTAGACTTTTATAAAATCTGTTTATGTGGAGTGTTCACCACACAAGTCTATCTGTATTACTATAGAAACAGTAATTACTATATAATCAATAATGTAATAGAATGAATGCAATATTATAAAACTGATGTGAACTGATGTGAGTTGTTTCTTTAATAGTGAGTATTTTTTCCTGTGACATAAGTGATTAAAGTGTTCATTAGAATCTTATTTTTAAATGTTTTATTTTATATATATATATATATATATATATATATATATATATATATATATATGTATATATATATATATATATGTATATATATATATATATATATATATATATATATATATATATATATGTATATATATATATATATATATATATATATATATATATATATATATATGTATATATATATATATATATATGTATATGTATATATATATATATATATATGTATATATATATATATGTATGTGTGTGTGTGTGTGTGTGTGTAACCTTTGCACCGTTTTCCATTTCCTTTATAAACATGTATAATTTGTCTCTAACTAATACATTTTTGTGTTTATTTTCTCAGACATTAATGAGTGTCAGATGGCAGCTGTGTGTACTAATGGTCAGTGTGTGAACACAGAGGGCTCCTTCACTTGTACATGCAACCATGGATACCAAACAACTCCTGGCAATAAAAGCTGCCAAGGTACATACAATATATCAAACACATATTGGCATGCATACTTACACACGGTTAGTGTTCAGGTTCATCAACCATACTGTCTCTGTTCCAGATGTGGACGAGTGTCTGCTCCCAGATGTCTGCCCTCACGGCACATGCGTTAATGTTCCGGGCTCACACAGGTGCAGCTGTAACACAGGTTACAAAAGCGGCCATAATGGCAAGGCTTGTGTGGGTATGTACCTTACACTGCATTAATAGTCTGTTTTTTACTCAAACTGGCTGAACCAAGAGATATTGTTTGTTGCGGGCAACAGGTTTATTCTGAATTAGTGACCATTGGTTTTAAATCAGAATATTTGTAAGTACCAGATCTAACACCACAATACGGTGAATGCAAAACAATGTATGCCTCACAGATGTCGATGAATGTGCCGAGCCCAGCCTGTGTATGCGAGGTGTGTGTGTTAACACTCTGGGCTCCTTCACCTGTACCCAGTGTGAGGTTGGATACACTCTCTCTGATGACAGACAGAGGTGTGCGGGTGAGTCCTGCTCTAGTCACGTAACACTTAAACCTACATTTGTACTCAGATGAGCAATGTGGAGCTGGTGATTCTCGATTGCATTTTATGTTATCACATTGTATTTATAGTGTTACACTTCACTTCACTTTACTGACAGCAGAGCAGCTGTCTAATCTATTCTAAGTTTTCTAATTTAATTTTCACCTGTTTGTTAGATTGGATGCATACGTTGTATATGTTTAGCAATAAAACAAGATTCATGTCACTGTTTTGTAGTATGTTATCAGGCTTTTGTAGCAAGAATAGTAAGGTTCTGTTAGGAATTCTCTAGCTTAAAATGAACATGTATTGTCTTGTTTATAATATTATCTTCCATAATTAAAGATATCACGTTTATTATATAATCTGATATACACCAGTCTAATCATATAATATGGTGTGATTTGTTATGTTATGTTGCTATCGTTCAGCAGGTTATGCTATAGTTGGTAAAAATTGTGTTCCATATGACTCTTTTTTACTTTGAGCACTTGGTCCTTTAAGGTTCTTTGCATGGCCATATTGTGATGTGATATGGCAACAAGATATATTTTATACCATGCTCTGTCTGAATACTCAATTCTGATTGGCTGGAAGGTGTGAAATCATGTAATGCACAGGTAGATCCAGTCAGATTAATCGCTGTTCTAAATAAATTTTCTGCCTATTAACAACTGTACCCATAGTAACATATAGTTACAGTTGCATAGTGTAGTTAAACTCAGCTTCATTATTAGTAGAGATGCGGCACAGATTCAGGTAATTCACACACACACACAATCTCTCTCTCTCTCTCTCTCTCTCTCTCTCTCTCTCTCTTGTCTCTCTCGCTCTCTCTCTCTCTCTCTCAAATAACTATTTATTATTATTCAATCAATTAAATGTAATCGTATTGCACTACTTTATCTCTGTGTATGATTTAGAGAATTCTAGATCACATCAAAGACAGCTTTAACTTGTCAATGCTAGCAAGTGACCATGGTATAAGCGGGGTAATCAACGGCTAGGTGTGCGTTACACGATTTTAATGCTCCTCTGTGGTTCTTTGCCTCCAGGTCGTGGATTAAATTAGTGTAATGCACACATAGCCGTGGATTATCTCTTACTTATATCTGTGTTTTGAAAAATTATTTTTGTTCTTTGTTGTTTTAATCTTTTGTATGTTAAGCACCTTTCATTTTTGAATTTAAAATAACAAGTGCCAACTATATTATTGTTTCTCACAGATATAGATGAGTGTCGCTCCTTGTCTACGTGCCCGAATGGCATTTGTCTGAACTCGGAGGGCTCGTACTCCTGCATAACATGCCCCACTGGTTTCACTGTCTCACCAGATGGAGAGCTCTGTGAAGGTGTGTGATATATTATACTATGCACGATATGCAGTATTCATTATTAAATATTGCATGATATGTATGTAGTATTCCAAAAATCGTATAGGGTTTCTAGCTGGAACCCTGTTTTATAGAGAAAAAACACATGATAGGATTCTACATAATTCTACATTTATGTGAAAGTCACTTAAATGACTTTCATGTTTTCGATTTGAGAGTATACTGTATGTACTCCATTCTGGTTTATTTTATATAATATTTATATTGTCTTGCTCTTACCCTACATCTTTCTGAACATTGTTGCTGCTGTAGTTTTGATGGTTATGTTGTCTATTTAGTTGAATTAAATTGAGTATTACATTGAAAGACTGTCAAATATGATGGCTATTTTTGACAAGCTTTCAAAGTTGTTTTTAATTAAGATTGCCTTGATTAATTATTATGCATACTCTTGTAGTCTCAGCGTTCTTATTAATAACCTTTAGCAATGATTATACATCTCCAACTGCATGTCCTCAGGGAATATGCACAATGAAAAGGGATAAAGAGGGAAAAGGATTAAATTTTTTTTTTAAAGACTGCGTTTGGAGTTAAACTCACATTTAAGCATTTTATCAAAACCAGATAAGTACATCTGGAGGAGTTTTTATCCCAATGGA